TCTGTGACGCTCGTTCGGCTTCCATCGAGAACTGAGGTCATAGGAAACATGGCATTTCTTGGCTGTTCGAATCTTGTAGAAGTGTCTGTCCCTTCGACAGTTGCATATGTTGGAAAAAGTGCCTTTGCAAACTGCCCGAAATTAGACACGGTGTCTGTATCAGAAGATGGTACGTTGTCGAATAGTGAAAAGTTGGCCGTGATCAAGCAAATCCTTTCCACAACAGGCGATGAAGAAGACGAGAAAACGGATTCTGTGCTGGAAGAAGGCGACGACGGTAGCTTTATTCCCGAGTCTTTAAAAGGATTCTTGGCGGATGCCAATGTCCAACTCGAAGCGGACCTGAGCGCTCTTCTCGGTGATGACTTTGAGAAGGAAACAGATGCCTCGAGCTTTGAAAAAGAAATCGAAGAAGCAGTAAGGTTCCAAGCTGAGTCAGAAGAAGCGGCCCTTTTGAATGCAGAAGAGGAAGCTATGAAACAAGTGCTGGATGAAGAGCTCAAGCTAAAGGAAGTTGAAGAAGAAGCTGAAAGCCTACGAGCTGAAACAGAAGTAGAAGCTGCCAAGCAACGGGAATTGGAGGAGTATCAAACGCTCGAAGAAGCAGGCAGACTGCAAGCGGGAGCCGAAGAGGCTGAAATTGCGAAAGCACAACAAGAAGCCAAGGATCGAGAATTCGAAGAACAACAAAAGAAACTAGAGCTCGAAGCTGCGACAGTGAAGGAAGAAAAAGAAGCACAGGAGCAAGAACTGGAAGAGCAGAAAAGGCTTGAAGAAGTTGCCCGAGTTACAAGTTTGAGAGCCGAGGCAGAAGAAGCAGAGATGTTGAAAATAGAAGTTGGACAGGACGGCGAGAAACCGGCTCACATGGAGTTCAATGCAGGTGCTCGGAATGTCGAATCCTCAAAAGCAGCCGTCCCATGTCCGAATGCAGAATCCACCAGCAAGGCGACAGACTGTTCTGCATTTGTGTACAAGGGTGGAAGTCAAAAGGTCCCCAAGGATATTACTCGAGTCAAAATCGATTTGTCTTGCAAGAGAATTGAGCGAAGTGCTTTCGCTCGTTGTAAGAAATTGGCCGACGTGGAATTCTCTGAAGGCCTCGTTGAGATTGGCTTTTCAGCATTTTACTATTGCTCCTCGCTGGAGCTCGTTGGACTACCGTCGACAACTAAGATTATTGGAAACATGGCCTTTGCGGGCTGCATCAATTTGAAGGATGTCGAATTCAATGATGGGCTGGAAGAAATCAAGAAAGAAGCATTCTCTCGATGTTCAAGTCTTGAGAAGGCTTCCATTCCCTCGACAGTGGTAGTTGTTGGAAAGGGTGCTTTTGCAAATTGCCCAAAATTGGATACGGTTAATCCAGTGGAAAGACTTGAGAATGTGGAACGCACAACAGGGTCCAATAAGAATTCAGATCCAATCGAAACTGTCAGTCCTCGGCCACAACTGAACGAAGCCTCTATGACATGGACTTCAATGTCTTCTGTAGGTACGGCAAACGACGATGACAAGGAGAACAAAGGGATTCTGCGCCGGAACATATTGAACAAAAGGCTTAGTATTTGGAAGTCGCAGCCGAAGTTGCAAACAATAAGCGCCAAAGCTGCGATGGCAACCGAACAAGCCGGGGTAGAATCAAAGGCCAAAGCAGAGCGAGAATCTGAAGAAAAGCGGCTCGTGGAAGTAGCAAGGCTACAAGCCGAAGTCGAGAAGGCTGAAAGAATGAAGGCGGAACAAGAAGCTAAGAAGCAGGCTTTGGACGAAGAGCGAAAGCAAAAGGTGCTCGCAGCCGCTGCAAGGCGAAGAACCGAGGCGGTAGAGGCGGCAAGGTTGAAAGCCGAAGAGGAAGCGGAAGAAGCGGCAAGATTAAAGGCAGAAGAAGAAGCTGCGGTGGCAGAGCAGCTAAAGCTCGAAGACGAAGCAAGATTAATAGCAGAAGCGGCAGAGGCTGAACGATTGAAGGCCGAAGAAGAAGCCAAGAAGGTAGCATTGGAACAAATGCAAATGAAAAAGGAGATTGAAGAAGCAGCAAGGCTAAAAGCAGAAGCGGAAGAAGTGGCAAGAATGAAAGCGGAAGCTGAAGAGGCTGAACGATTGAAGGCTGAAGAAGAGGCCGCGTTCGAAGAACAGCGAAAGCTCCAAGAAGCTGAAAAGCTACAAGCCAAAGCGGATCTAGCGGCAAGATTGAAGGCCGAAGAAGAAGCCAAGAAGCTGGCATTGGAGCAGGAGCAGAAGCAAAAGGAGATCGAAGAAGCTGCTAGACTACTAGCTGAGGCAGCAGAGGCAGCAAGATTGAAAGCCGCAGCGGAAGTAGCGGCAAGATTACAGGCAGAAGAAGAGGCT